CTACTACACCCTACACCCTCTTACCCGGATTGAAATGTGTGAGAGTATAAACTAACCTTTCTCACGATTATGTCGACTCCTTCTTCGAGAGCATCGTGCTGCACAATGTTAGTGCTGAAATCACAAATTTGAGAAGAGGGACAGATAACATCGGATAAAAAACTACGTTATATTTATAATTCCTCCATGACATGCGACGACCAGATGTCCCTCCTCTGGCGGCAGAACTCTGCATCCTATCTCACCACAGTAACCCTCATCAAAAACGCGTAATCGCTCAGTCCATGCTGCAATACAAACTTTAGAAGGCGCAAAAAAATGAGCTATACAAACCGGCGGCATCAAAAGACTCGTCATGGAAGACGTTCTTGCACGTTACGTGGTTGTCAAACAAGGCTTCAATAACAATACCCGGAACTTTCACAAACGATGTTCCATTGCACTCCTGGAAGAAAAGAAAGATCAATGCTCAATAGATTAAAAGGTTCAATTTTTCAGCAATACCAAGAAAGAAGAACGAACCAAGCAACGTGAGAAGATGTCCAAACCACTAAAGGTCGCTTTGTGTTTAGTAAACACGCATTTGAGTTGTTCAATTGGTCCCAGTGCACCCGCATTCGTGATACACATCACCCGATCAGCGAAAATTCGCCTCAACTCAAAGTAAAAAATGGTAGAATTCTTTCAGAAAATTTTTGTGGTATCCTCACTTCATCGTACGCTTTTCCACTGGTCACTATGAATCTTTTGTTCGACATCGCGTTCATCTTGAGTTCGCTTCTGTCTGTAGGTATCATTACATTGACTCCACAGCGGCTGCAAAAATCATTCTTAGGCCTCGGGCACAGTTCACACGATTTCATAGCCTCGCGGTTCTCCCGCCAAGACAACTGTCAATAATTCATTGCATGCAGATCCTCTTGCACTCCGGTTGTGATAGTTTTCCAACACGACTAATGCGACTAGCTATCACAACCGAAACGCAAGATAATCGTCATAAATGGACTCGTCACCGTTGTCTTGTCGGGAGAATCGCGAGACGATGATCGCGTGGACTATGCGTGAGGCAGTTCCAAATACAGCCATATGTAAAAAGTTTGTGTACAAAAAATGTGAAAAAATAAACTCAAAGGCGGTGGACAGGCAGAATGGACCCCTGTCGGATTTTGGTGTAG